TGAATATTTGAAGACCTGAGTTACCAGTTAAGTCCTTATTTTTAGATTATTGTCTTCATCTTTTTAAGGATTCGGGAAGGCTTTTAGTCCTTTTTCCTTAAATAATACAGATCACGTTTACTCTGTGACACTATATGCTTTATATTTGTAGACTAACCTTTGCAGAATCAATATTCTCCTCCACCAGTTTTGTTAATTTACCTCTTATCACAGATGTAAGAAAGAACAGTATCCTTTAAATATCTCTCTCAGCACTGTTTTCTGACCCTTACACACCTTTTTATTGCTGTCTTGTAACAAATGTTCTAGTTTCGTCTTATTATAGAATATGTTATTGGATAACAGGAGGTCAACAATAAAAAAGAGAGTGTAAGGAAGAAAGAAATTCAAACTGGTACAGTAATAAAAAAGCAATAGAAGAAACAATCAAAAAGGCATTTTAATCTAAACACTGGCTCAGTCAAATTCTGGCAACATTGTGACATGGAGTGATCTTTGCTTACCTTTAATTGAAGCTAAACCCCACACAGAACTGCTAAAACTGCTACAAGATAGTTTCAAAGTGTTGGCAAAAGTTCAAAATTGACCTTACAAGCCAGAGCTTCTGCTTGCCTAAAGCAAATCCACCACTTCAATTAGATAAAGCTGACAGTAATGTGAATGTAGCAGCAGGACAGCCAAAGGTTCGACATTGAATTGTCCAGTGACAGAAGCTTGAATATGGACTTACTTCAATCCAGCCTGACTCCCATCAGACTGGCTAAAACTCGAGATAAAGACCAGTGGCCTGCAAAACCTTTTCAGCCATGCCAGCATTATCTCAACGACTCCACACAGACAAGACTGAAAACATCAAGCTGGCTGAAATAGAGCAGAAGTTGTTGTTTTCCCTTTCAAAAGCCATTACAAAGTGACTTTTATGAACAAATCTCGAATGCCTTTCTGCTTCTCTGTTTGTCACACCAAACTGCAATAATCCTGACAACAGGGCAGGTGTTCTGGAAAGTTCAACTGGAAAACCTCGCAATGTGTGAAACTAAAGCAGTTATGTAATACTTTCAATGTCCAAATAACGATTGTACTGACTGGGACTGAGTCAAACGAATGCAACGACTTGGATAAGTGAGAGCAAAACAACCTGCTTGTACAATATGAGTACTTATTAATACAGTGTGAAACCCTTACTCTTCTACACTGATCCAATTGTCTTCACACTGTATTTGTAATGTTACTTATAACAGATACAACTTCGAAATCTAAAGTTGTTAACAGTAACATCTGAAAGGTTGAAACATCATTTTTATAACAGGCTTTACATGACAGAATCTGTAATCTAGCTGTGTTTGTATTTTCTATAACATTTTACCACAAATAAAACAGATTAAACAGTTACCTCCTCCTAACCTGCTGATATCATTAGCTGCTATTAGCCCATTCTACATCTATTAATGTGGGTATATAATGCTTTGATATTTGCTGAGTTTACCCATTTTTTGGTTAACATTACATAAAGCAGAAAATGATACTTGAGGTAATTTACAACTCTCTTATGGGAGGTTAAAGTGCAGACAAGAACATGTAAACAGCCATACGTTACCATACGCATGCACACAAAGCTCCTGAAAGTTGAACAAGAAAGTTGGTCTTTGAACTGGAATTTATCTTAACGACAGACGAAAACTTCTCTGATTATCTGGATGCTCATCTTTCTTCCACCATTTTATCAACTGTAACTGTAATGATATTATCAATAACAAATGATGGCTCCAGTTATGAAAATATGACCCAAAATCAAATATTATCTTTTAACAGCTCAGAAATCCAATTTTAGTTTCGCTCCATTTGTCTCGCCTCGTAACAGGTCTCAGGTCTGAGACGACAGCAGCTGTTTGATGCTGTGGAGTGTTTGACATATGAAAGCTGAACGGGCAATTCTTTAGAGTCCACTTACACCGGCTTGATAATTCAAGTAATTTCTCATCAGAGTCTCATCAAACGGATTCTTTGTCAGGAGGCAACAGTGATATGAAGAGGCTTGTTGTGGCGCTCTGGGTGATGGAACTGCAGATAAAGAGGACCTGCTGTTACTTATGTGAAAAACCAACACAGATGTGAGAGGAGACTGTTAAAAAGAGCGTTTGATTGAAACACTCGAGTTCTCCAACCGAACAACATCAACAAAACCTTCAAGCCAGAACAGCTGTTTGCGGTGTTTGAATGTTCGATTAGGTCAGCAGAGGTGAGCGCCAACTATAAACTAGTTTATCAATCAGAGTTGTCTGTTGCGATGCCACTCAATTAGTTACATAAGACCATGGTACTAGCCGAAAGTTTCCATTTGGGGAGAATGACATCAGCAAAAGATCAACTGATCAATAAGATTTCAGATATCAGCTCCACTGAAGGGGGTGACTGGGGCTGAGGAGAATGAGCTAGGCAGCTGCGTTATAACAAGGCTTTAAAGGGAAGACCGGCTTAAATCCAAATTTCTCCCACCAGGAGAAAATTAAAGAGCTAAACCCCTTTCTGCTTCTCTACCACCGTGTGGATTTGGATTATACAGAGCAGAAAAATAATCCACACTTTCAGGGAGTGTTCTGCTAAGTTGAGTGGAAATGCAGAGTTCCTCTGCATAGCAGCCTGGACTCAGTCAAACACAAAGGATATCCTGAGTAGGAATATTCCCTACCTAAACAATGAAACCGGCACACAAAGGCCGGTGCTAATGCCAGTCGGACATTCCTGACATGGCCGGGCTGGGGTCGGACTGTCGAAGTTTTTGGGATGTTATGGGAAGTCTTTAACAGCAAGAGAAACCACTCGTAGTTTGCTTTTGCATATGGAGGCGTATGCCTGTGGGTGGCTGTGATCACAACACTATCACTAGGCCCAGTCAGCACCTTAATTGTGTGGGACTGAAACAAAAAGAACTAACACTCACACTTCAGGCTGTGATGGAAATCCTTCCCGTCTTCTGTCAAGCAATAAAGAGTATTTTCTCCAAGAAATTTGTTATTTACTCCCTCTATGTTGCTTGTTTGCAAAATACCATTTGTCTCTCAGCAGCATTGTCCTCACACTTCACATGACAGGACTGCTCAGCTGCGAAAGCAAAGATGGAACAAGGATATGATAAGTTTTCTGCTTCTCTTCTGCAGTGATTTTCTAAGGGGTAATTTTCCTAAGTGAGTTGCTCTTTTTATATGTCACACTATTCCCAAATGGTAACTAACAACTACAAACACAGTCTAATCTGTTTGCCACTGAGCAAATCTGCAAAAGAAGCTGAATATAAAGGTTTTTTTGCCCTATGTGGTGACAGCCTGACAGTGGTGACAGGCAAGCTCTGCTCTTTGTTTTCCCATTCTGTTATCATCCAAGTCCAGGGATCAAAACTGGCTGTTGTGAGCAGAGTCATCAAAATCTTGATACGCTTCAAATGAACTTGAATTGTCTGGCATCCTCATGGCAGAATTGCAGTGGGAAAGTGGTATTCTTTGTCCCACTTGTTAATGTTAATGATACAAAGAAGTTCAAAAGACACAATTCATGGAGATTATGGTGGCCAAGGGAGGCGTTTTCAACCCACAGTAACATGGACGACTTTTTGTCTTCCCTGTTACTGCGCTTTTAGAATTTAGAAAATATAACTTATAAAATATAACTAAATGCTTTTTAACACTGAAGAGAGACGTTGCAGTCATATTTGTTGGGATCCTAAAGTCTGAAGCACCGTTGGATTTTATACCTCACTGTTGTAAAAGTTCAATTAGCTTCAACTCTGACTTTGTTTGGCGTTGACCTTCCAATTTGCAACTAATAAGATCACAGCTGTCCATGATGCAACCCGTGATAAACTTGTGATAGACGAAAAGGTTATTGTCTCTGTGTTTGAGTCCTCAGAAGCCTACGACAACACCGTCATGTTCTGCCACGATCTTAGCTGGAACACTACAGCATCCAACAACAACACTAATACCTGTCGACAGACATACTAGAAACTTCAGTCCGTTTCCTTTGCAGGGTAAATTGGCATACCAGCACTGTGTTTAATCACAAATTTAGGGCAAAGTTTTAGAGCACATGAAAAAATGTTTTAATAAAAGATTTGGTAATTAATGGAGGGTTTATGACTGTACGGAGATTAAAGGAAACAACTAACGCTTCATTTATAATTTAACACTGAACCTAAACCTTTTGAGCGTAGGTAAAGCACAGGTGTAGTGTAAGGACGGCACTGGTACAATGTAGGTAAGGTAAGGTGTAGAGCACAGATAAAAACAGTCAAGGCGCAACAGGAGATGTATACATCTGTGACAAAGTTACACTGTAGCTATGAGTGGCCGGTCCAGTGCTGCTGATTCCTCTTGTACAATTCCAGCTACACTCCTTTGTTGAGTTTATATATCAGGATAGACATGAAGGAATGTAGGAAGGCAAAAAATATGTTTGCCTCTGAAAAAAAATAGTCTCAGAATGTATTTATTTCTGTCGTGGTTGGCACCACATAAAACATGTAGACATGACCATAAGGTCATGCACAAACATGAATGCTGGCAACGGCATCGACCACTTGCAGGCTCTACATAGATTCAACACAATCTAAATACGCCTTATAAGTAAGGCGTTAGGTATATACACATGTAAGGCATAAGTACAGCGTAGTTATGCTGTAAGGAATGCATAGATATAAGTAGGTACAGTCAGTAGGTAGGCATAGGTACAGTGTAGTCAGCCATCATAAGCTGTAGCCTAACAACTATGTTGCTTGGAAGCAATAATCATGTTGTATATGTTGGTTCTCGTATGTTCTCTGTTTTCTGTGTTGAAGTCATTACATTAAAAATCACAGTTCTTAAAAACATTACCCCCAACTCAACATTGTCCATTCAAACACAGCTGCTTTTGTTAGGTGCAAAAGAACAACAAGTGACACAGCACTTGCGACTCGCTTGTACACCACTTTGCATTTAATCATCACTTATTGTTATTTTTTTCCCAGCCTCTCTACCCCAACCACCAACAGGTTACAGCTGATTGATGTCCCTTCCTGAGCCTGGTTCTACAGGAGGTTTCTTCCTGTTAAAAGGGAGTTTTTCCTTCCCACCGTTGCCAGTGCTTGGACAAAGAACGCCATCTAATTGTTGGGATTTTCTCTGTATTACTGTAAAGTCTTTACCTTACAATATAAAGCTCCTTGAAATGACTGTTGCTATGATTTAGCCCTTTGTAAATATAATCACATTGAACTGAATTAAATTGAATTGGTAAAGCTCTGGATATTGATAAATCAACCTTAAGTACCAACGCTCTTTCATGTCAAAGTTGTTTAGACATGCGAGGTACCCTGCTGGCCTGCCTGTGCAGGTACATTCATTAGTACTGTGACAAAGTGGAAAACCCATCAAGATGAGGATGGCAATATAAATTAGGTATAAAGAAGGGAATTTTGACAGCACTGCTTAGTCTCCCTACACTGGGATCTTCAACAAATGGATCTACTTTTCTGAAGCTAACATGCACGTGCTTAGGGTTTATAGCTCAGGGAAAAAAACCCTAATCAGGACAGGTCTTACAGCAAATGCTAAGCATACTGTATATTACTGTGCAATTAATATATTGAATCACTTTTCATTACTTTCACATTCAGAAATAAAAATTGTGATTCCTTTACCTGTTCCACCACGGGTCCTCAGCGTTCCCGTGTGTGAGGAAGTGCTGACTCCCCCGAAGACGGTCATCCCCTGTCCTACAGGAGCATGGAAGTTGTTGTAGTTGGGGATGGCGGTGACCCCGAAGTTGGGGTAGTGCTGCGGCGTGGGGTCGGCCCCATAGCGGTAGCCCGCTCCCTGGGAGATGCTGTTGTCTCGGTCATCTGTGAGTTTGGTTGCCTCCTTATCCTTGCATTGCACACAGCCCATTATCTATAATCTGTTCACGACACAGAAACAAGAGGCATTTTTTGAATTTGGATAATAACTGTTGACTGGAGTGACAGGTCATTAAAAACAAAATGACTTCAGCTAAGCAAAAAAACCCATCCAATTGATTATATAAGTAATAAGGAATGAAATGTAATAATGAGCAAGAGAAATAAACACGCCACAAGAGCCTTAATTCAGGCAATACAATAAATAAAAATTATATACTTTCAACCTGATGGATGGATCGATAGGATGAGCTGGAGAATAGAGCTTAGCCACACTCCACAACAAACAGAACTGAAGCCATCGCTCTGTTCAAAGGTTTTACTTCACACCATTTTCTCTACAGCTGAGATCCTTCCACTGATTAGCACTCTGGTCTGAGACACAGGGACCTTTTTTTCATTGCCTGACATACAGCTTGGTCTCTGGATGAGTCACACAAACAGTGTTTCTCTTTTATGGCCAGGAAGAAAAACAGCTCCTATCACATTGACGGTGCGGAGGCACAGAGCCATGCTGTCAACGTCACCTCGTCAATCTTAATGGACAGCTGTAGGAGGACGGAGAGTCGGCGATTGGACGCTAGTTTTATCACAGAGCCTCCTAATCAAAGTCAGTAACAATCTTCAGCTGTTTTTCATGTGCTCGAAGATTTCTGCACCTATAAATCTCAGTTCGTGCATCCCTGCCTCTAGCTTACAAGAGACAGATAAAGTAAGATTGGTCAGTATTGAAAGCAGCTCACTCTTCTTACCCAATTTAGCATATACCTAAATAAATGAAAAACATCTAATTGTTTCCTTAAAGGAAAAAATCTATAAATATAAGACTATTAGAATGGAACATAAGAAAGAATGAGCAATAAAACTTGTCTCTCATTGGAAAACAAAATCCTGATCAGCCCTTAAGCTCTGGCCTGTTACATGAAAATATATATTCACTTCCTGTTTCTTTTTCAACCCTAGTTTCCTTCTGTCTTTTGCCTCCAGTGACTGCAGAAAATAATTTAATTTATTCACTTGTGAAAAGAGAATATTAAATAAGGAGTGTAGGGTTCCCCTTCTTCTTCCCATGATCCATGATCTATAGCAGGGGTGGGGAACTCCAGGCCTCGAGAGCCGGTGTCCTGCAGGTTTTCGATGTGTCCTTGATCCAACACAGCTGATTCAAATGACTAAATTGCCTCCTCAACATGGCTTGAAGTTCTCCAGAGGCCTGGTAATGAACTAATCATTTGACCCAGGGTGATATCTAAAACCTGCAGGACACCGGGCCCTTGAGCTCTAGAGTTCCCCACCCCTGATCTACAGCAGCAAGTGGATCACAGATCATAGGAAGGAATCTGAGTCTTCTATCAATCGATAATGTCCCTGATAAACAGGATACTGCGACACAGATAGACAGAATCACATCATGAACCATTATACCCAACGACTAAGAAAAACTGCTGAGGATATTTAACTTTTCTAGGAAAATAATCTCTTGCAGTTTCAACAACGTGTCTGCCAGCATCACCATCACACCCGATTTGATGTGAATTTTCTCATCTGCTTAGACAGAGTGTCAAAAAAACGTGTTGAGCACATTCATGTTGCCTAGAGGATGAACCATTTTCACTTTGAACTGATAATGACCTTTCCACTGGTATTCTACCCCAGGACAAGTTTACACTGTCAGTCTTATTTCCATGCTTTTGTTGTTGATTGACAGGGTGATTTGATACTGCCTGTCTTGTATCTCACTGAGGGTTGGATTCTGACAGCTTAGACAGATTACCGTTAGGTTTATACCTAACCGATATGAAAAGTTCAAACTGATCAAACTGATCCGTGAGACTTGAAAGTGACAGTGAAGTGACTGTCTGAGCTCTAGAACCATGGACATTATAAAATTCACTTTCTTTCCTTAAGATCAGGGATGCCCAACTCGAGGCCTTAAGGACTGGTGTCCTGCAGGTTTTAGATACCACCCTGGGTCAACACACCTGAATCAAATGATTACTTCCTTACCAGGCCTCTAGAAAACGTCAAGACATGTTAAGGAGGTAATTTAGTTATTTAAATCAGCTGTGTTGGATCAAGGACGCATCTAAAACTTGCAGAAGACGGGCCCTTGAGGCCTGCAGTTGGACAACCTCTGCTTAAGATGCTCTACCAGGCATGTACTGTGTCCGTGTTCAGTTGCAGCTTGTTTGCTGGTCTCTCTTCCTTCAGTTCTGCCTTCAGTAAGCAAAAATCATGCTCTTTTGGGATGAGATCAGGTCTATGAGTTGGTCATTGAAGTATATCCCATTTCTTTGTCAGTAGCCCTTAACAATGACACACCTCCTTTAACATCTCCTCCTTAACATCTCCTTCAAAACCAAAGAAGAAAACTGTCTACTGTGGTCTTTCAGGCCTTTTGGCGCTCTTGCCAGTACTTTTGAGAATGTATTAGATGGTTGATATTCCCAGTCCAAAAATTTCTGCTATTGGTCTGATGGTTGGTGTTGGTGTTGTGTTCCCACATAGCAGACAGGTCTGGCCCGGATCTAGCGTCAAGCCGGCACTGCTGGCTGACTCCTGGCATGGTACGTGTGTTATGTCATCCAAATAGGGGCCAGGCCTGGCATAGATGGCACTGTTTATGTGATGGCATGCCACATCTGTCCCGATTGTAGTTTGGTTTATGTGGCCCAGGCTCATAGAAAACAGGTCTGGCCCAGATCCGGCATCAAGCTGGCACTTCTGACTGACTGGTGTAATGGCAGGATGTATGTCAACCAGATGTGGGCCAGGTCTGGCAATGATGACACTGTTTATGTTCCTATTTTCCTATTTTAGTTAAACGTTTCAAACGCAGGTTTGACAGGTTTGTGAGTGTACACTTTATCCAAAACGTAGTGAGGGTTTACTCATGTGTACCACCGGGTGGCTGTAACTCAGGAGGTAGAGAAGGTCATCTACTGATTGGAAGGTTAGTAGTTCGATCTTGGCTCCTCCAGTCTGCATGTCAAGAGTATGAATGTAGTTAGGAAGCACCCAGTTTAGAGAAAGAGTGTGAATTTGGCATGTTGTATAGAGCACTTTGAGTAATCCGGGCGAGTAGGAAAGCCCTATCTAAGAATCAGTTAATTCAGTGTCTAAACAGAGTTTTGTCATGTTACTTTTGTACTATTATGTTCCGGCACATGTTGTTACTACATTGCTTGACACACATTAAGCTGACATCTGGGGCCAGAGCTGAAACTGTTCTGTGCCAGCACAGGGCCGTCATTCTTTGTGGTATGTGGGCCAAGTGTAAGCACATTGTGTGGGCCAGATCCGGGCCATACCAATTTTGCTATGTGGGTTGATGTTGGTTTTTCAGAGTATGACCTCCTTCATTTGCATCAACATCTCTTTAGACCTTATGTATAAAATACCTGTAATCCCCCAAACAGTTAAATACTTTTATTATATCTTTTTAACTACAGCTGAAAGTCTGCATCTAAATTAAGTCTTGACTGTTTTAAAATCCAAAAACTGTACCTCGACATCAAATCAATTTGGGAAGAAATTCCTGTGATAAAGATGGTTGCACCTTCCTAAGCATTTTTTTTGACTGTTAAAGGGGATTTCTTCCTCTCTACTGTCACACGAGCTTCCTCACAGGGGATCATATCATTAATTTCTCCCTAATATTGTTGGGCTTTACCTTACAATAGAAAGTGCCTTAATCAGACTGTTGTAAAGAGTTGTTTTATAAATAAAATGGAATATTCAATCTATGCTTTCGCGATCATGTGGATGCTACATCGGTCCATCGTTATAAGGAGAGAGCTTCCAAGTGCTACCCTCTCCTGGGCTTGACTCTTTGTTGATGAACAGTGACTAACCATTTAGAACAGGTGCCTCATGCTGACTGACACACTGTGACCATTCTCTTTCAACATAATTATAGACCAGTCCCTCAGATGGCACCAAAGTGCAGACAGAGGCCGAAATGCCTGTCAAGACAATCAGAGGTTGTCACAGCAAGTGGAGGTGTAGAACAGAGACCAGTCTTACTGTAATATTGGTTTGTGTTTAACATCTTCGGCAAAGATATGCCTTTCAAACAAAGTGTTCTGTTTTCTCTTTGTTCTATCTGTATTGTATTGTATTGTATTGTGTATTATTCATATTAATCAGAATCAGAAATACATGATTAATTCCAAAGGAAATTTTATACTGTATAATGCCAGATATTATACGAAACACGAAGTGTGGACATCTTCGTTATGTAAGGATGAAAATCAGGAGTGGACAATAACCTTTTCATCCTCTGGCTGAACTTGAGCTGACCTATGCTAAAGCTATGAAACCAGCAGACAGAGTGAATAGAAGGCCTATGCATGATGAAGCAGTGCACCAGCACACTCTGTCAGGGGAAGCTGTAATGATTAGTGACAGGACGCAGGGAAGGCAGGGAAGGCTAGACGACAACAGCAGCAACACTACGCTCAGTGCGAGCCTGTAGAGCATCTCTAATCGTACGCTCCCAGCAGAAGCCAACATCAACTGCTGTGTATTCCGACCCTCTACATAACCCACACTTGGCAGAGGCAGAATCAGATTTTATAGAAGGGAAACCGATGTATTGATCCCTCTGAGCTGGATGGAAAGCTGTTCATGTTGTTAAACGTTAATCTAAGGAGGAAGGATGATGACAGATCAGGTCTATATTCCAGGATGGATGGCTTAGCATTACAGCTGGTCACACAGAGCTCGATGCTTTTGACACATTTTTGCTTCTGATTAAAGGCAGATAAAGAGCGATGACACAGAGAAAAATAGACTTGTAAATGCACCCAATGATGCACACACAGAGCATCTCTCAACACTAATATGCAATATGAAAGCACTATGAAGGCCCTGCTGTCACCCAGAGTGGTAGCAGAAGATACAGACAGTGTAAAGTCAGAGG